GGCCGACTCGGCGGCACATAACAACAACAACAACAACAACAAGAGGAGTACCAGTAGAACTGACTCCACAGCGTTTCCGTGACTTTGAACTTTCAGAAGCAGATGGGAAGATCTTTCTTTCAAGGCACCTCTGTGTAGGTTTGAACCACTGACCCTTCCATTAGTAGTCAAACACTTAACCATTTGCACCACCCAGGGATTCACCACATTAAGTTTGTGTCCTAAACTTAATCCCTTCTGTGTCTTATAAAAATGTAAAAGAGAGTGATGATACACATGGGGGGATGTTGAGGAAGTTCTCAGATGCCAGGTGATGGTACATCTACAAGGCAACCAAGGAATGCCAGTGAAAACAAGAACTAAAGAAGCTGAAAGAGACAAGGATCTTGGCCTAGAGCTGAGACATATGCAAAAAGAGATAAGGAGAGAGAGAGGGAGGGAGGGACGGAGGAAGGGAGAACTTAGATCTGTTGACAATCTTAATTCAAACTGCTGGGTTTTCCAAAATTGTAATAAAGTAAATTGCTGTCTTTAAGCCACGCACTGGTGTTTTTGTTACAGTAGCAATAGGTAACTGAGACATGAAATTGAGTAACTGGCAAGAAGAGGGAGCTAGAAGCCTTATTCTTTGAGAACGAATAGGTGAGGCTGTTGGAGTTGCTCAGACTGGAGAGGAGGAGACTCAGAAAGGAAAGATCATCTTCCTCCAGCCCTGCAGAGTGGTCAGGACAGACTTCAGGTCTACACAGGAAGGAATTTCTGAGGGAGCTGATCATGGCTAGGACAAGCTTCTTATGAGGCAGTGATCTCCCTGTTGCTGGGAGTGAGAAGCTGACACCTGAGAGGTGAGCTAGACTTACGTGGGGAGGCAGGTTCAGGTTCACATAACAAGACTGTCGATGGACTTGTTGACCATGTTCTTAGCTCAGACCCTCCCTGCTGTCCCACTGCCCTCACTCTCTCATTCCTACCTCATGCTGGTGTCCGAAGAGCCAGTGAGAGGGAGGCGCTGGGAACTGCTTCAGGGCTTTGAGTAGCCATTGCCTGCGCAAGTAGAACTGGGCTGCCTTGAGCAACAGCAGAACCAGGCCAAGCAGAGAGGCCACTTGTAGAAGCCCAAAGATACCACCCAGGAGTCCAGTGTAGCTCAGCATGGAGACACTCATGGTGCAGCTGCTTCTGGATCACTGACTGTCTATCTGACTGTCTCTGAATGCCTTTTACCACCTTTGAGCAGTTCTAGGGAGGATGTCCCTCCCACCGGTGGGGAGGGGGAAGAGTGAGAGCAGAGCTTAACAATTGGCCACTAGGATTGCCTAATAGTGAAGGATCCACCTTGGGAAAGAGTGGAAGAAAAGTTTTATCAGTGGACTGTGATAACATCCATTTACATATACAGTTATCCCCCTTTAGTTTCCTCATCAAATACATAATGAGCATCTACTATGTCTTGGTCAGCATGCTGTTGTTGTTGTTATGTGCTGTCAAGTCGGATCCGACTCATAGCAACCCCTCCTTGGGTTTCCAGAGCTCCCGTGTGTTGGTCAGGATGCTAGGTGGTGGAAAAAGGCTGCAAGAAAAGATTAATGACCCCTGAATTCAAGGATTTCACAGTTTAGTTTACCTGTGTTTCAGTAGACATGCTGGTTTATTAGGAGCTCTGGTAGCACAGTGCCTAAGGCAGTTGACTGCTAACCAGAAGGCTGGCGGTTCAAACCCACCAGCCACTCCTCAGAAGGAAGGTTGGACAATCTACTTCCATAGTGATACAGTCTCGGAAACCCAAGGAGGGGTCGCTATGAGTCAGGTCTGACTTGATGGCACATAACAACAACAGCTGGCTTATTATTACTCCTATTTTAAAGGTGAGAAGCTGACAGTCAAAGAGGTGAAGTTATATTGCCAGAGTAAGACAACTAATGAGAATCTGAGATGAAATTAGAATCATTTCTGTTCTATGCCAAAGCTACCTACACCCGCGACCTCTGCAAAGTTCCCAGTACATTCCACTCCATTAGTCATTCCTGACCTGGAGTGACTGTGCTGGGAGAACAGAGCACTGGACTTAGGCTCAGGAGGCCCAAGACCCAGGTCCAGACTCACTGCTAATGAAGCCAGCAATTTAAACTCTCTGAGCCTTCCTTCCTTCCTTGTTGAATGGGATGTCCACAAATTTTTCTTAAACTCCCAGTCTAGTGAGTAAAGGCAGAAAAATAAATTAGTAAAATAAAACATGATAAGAGCTGTCTTGGAGGAATGGTCAGCAGGCTGGTACCATTCAGCAAAGCAGCAAAGCAGCAAAGCAGCAAAGCAAACTAAAGTATGGGGCTTTGAAGGATGAGTAGGAGTTAACCAAGTGCTAAATTGAGGGATTGACCTCAGCTAAACCGTAATGATCTCAAGTGAATGAGTAAAGAATAAGGGTACACGAATCTTCAATTCTTCCTCCCCCTCTTTTTAATGATTATCCCTCCCACAGTCAAATCCAAGGTCCAGAATTCAGAAATTAAAACAAAACATTTCAAGAATTCCTTGGAAGTCAGCTCTCCAATGGCACAATTTCCACCTCACCTAACTCTTACACATCTACACTCTAACACAAAACACCCTCTTCCTTTGCCTCCCTGGTGTCAGGCAATTCATTGCACAACCCATGGGTCAGAGTTATTTGCCTTTCTCCATAAATCCTTGACCCCTGTCCAAACCAAAGAACAGCAAGGTATAAAGGTATGTAACTGCTCATATATAGCCACTGTGACCTTTCCATCCTTCCCCCAGATCTCTGTCCCTCCTCTTTTCCCAAACCCGCCCCCAGTTCTGCAGTTATTCTCAGTTCCCCTCTTCCCCTAATCCCCTAGAAGGAATTTAAACTTGATTTTTTAAAAATGTATGTTGTTCTTCAAAACATACCAAGTCAACCATTTCAACATGTATAATTCAATGACATTGACTACATCCCTTGATTTGTGCAAACTTTTTCACCCTCCTTTTCTGAGTTGCTCCTCCCCACTAACTTAAACTCACTGCCCTTTAACATTATTCCTATGCAATCTTTTTCATGTTACTGTTGTCACTTTGATTTCAGATGTTGTTGCTGTTGTTATGTGCCATCGAGTTGGACCCGACTCATAGCGACCCCTCCTTGGGTTTCCAAGGAAGTATCACTATGGAAGTAGATTGCCCCATCTTTCTTCCGAGGAGTGGCTGGTGGGTTTGAACCACCAGCCTTCTGGTTAGCAGTCAAATGCCTTAGGCACTATGCTACCAGAGCTCCCATATAGATAGTTCTTAAAGAGTGTAAAGCTCAAGGTAGACCATTCTTTACTAGTTAAGCTAAAGTAGTGTGTGGCTTTAAAAAAACTTCAGTGGATATTTTTGGTTTAAGTTTGAAAGATTATTTCAGGAAAATAGTTTCAGGGGTCATCCAGCCTCCATGATTCCAGAAAATCTGGTTGTTGGGTGCTGTTGGGTCTGTTCCAACACATACGGACCCTATGTACAACAGAGGAACACACTGCTTAGTCACGTGCCATCCTCCCAATCATTCCTATGCTCGAACCCATTGTTGCAACTACTGTGTCAATCCATCTAGTTGAGGATCTTCTTTTTCACTGACTCTCTACCTTACCCAGCATGATGTCTTTCTCTAGGGGCTGGTTCCTCCTGACAACACGATCAAAGTACAAAATACAAGTCTGGCCATTCTAACTTCTGAGGAGCATTCAGGCTGTAGCTCTTCTAAGACAGATTTGTTTTGTCATATATACAATATTCTTCACCAATACCACAGTTCAAATGCATCATTCTGTGGTCCTTCTTATTCATTGTTCAGCTTTCAAATGCATATGAGGCAATTGAAAATACTATGGAATGGGTTAGGCACTCCTCAGGCCTCAAAACGGTATCTTTGCTCTTTACACTTTAAGGAGGTCTTTTGCATCAGATTTGTCCAATGCAACAAGTGGTTTGATTTCTTGATTGCTGTTTCCATGAGCATTGACTGTGGATCCAAGTAAAATGAAATCCTTGAAACTTTCAAACTTTTCCTATTTATCATGATCATGCTTATTACTTAAGTTGTAAGGATTTTTTTTGTTTTATGTTGAAAAGGGTGCTGGAATAGCTCAGTTGGGAGAGCGTTAGACTGAAGATGTAAAGGTCTCTGGTTCAATCCCGAGGTCTAGCAGTTTGTAATGTTTGGGAAGCTCTGGTGGCATAGTGCCTAAGGCATTTTACTGCTAACCAGAAGGCTGGTGGCTCAAATACACCAGCCATTCCCAGGAAGAAAGGTTGGGCAATCTACTTCTGTAGTGATATGGCCTTGGAAACCCAAGGAGGGGTCGCTATGAATCAGACCAGACTCGATGGCAGTGAGTTGCTTTTTTTTTTTGGTTTATGTTGAAATATAATTCTAACTAAAGGCTGTAGTCTCTGGTCTTCATCAGGAAATGTTTCAAGTCTTCTTAACTTTCAGCAAGGTAATTTCATCTGCATAATACAGGTTTTTAATGAATCCTTCAATCTTGATGCTCTGTTCTTGTTCATGTTGTCTAGCTTCTCAGATTTTTTTTTGCTCAGCATACAGATTGAATAAATATGGCGAGAGGGTACAACTCTGACATACACCTTTCTTGATTTTAAACCATGCAGTATCCTTTTGTTCTGTTTGAATGACTGCTTCTTGGTCTATGTATGGGTTCTTCGTGAGCACAATTGAGGGTTCTGGAATTCTCGTTTCTCACAATGTTATCCATAAATGGTTGCAATCCACACAATCAAATGCCTTTGCATACTCAATAAAACACTGGTAAATATCTTTGTGGTATTCTCTGCTTTCAGGCAAGATCTATCTGATATTAGCAAGGATATCCCTCATTCCACGTCCTCTTCTGAATCAGGCTTGAATTTCTGGCAGTTCCTTGTCAATGTACTCCTATAACAGTTTTAAAGTTATAGTTAGCAAAATTTTACTTTCCTGTGAGATTAGGGATACTGTTAAATAATTTCCACATTCCATTAGATCACCTTTCTTTGGAATGAATGCAAATAGAGATCTCTTCCAGTAGGTTGACCAGGTGATTGTCTTCCAGATTTCATGGCATAAATGAGTAATTGCTTCCAGCATTGCATCCATTTGTTGGAACATCTCAATGGGCATTATGCCAATTCCTGGACCTTTGTTTTTACCCAATTCCTTCAATGTAGCTTGGATTTCTCCCTTTAATACCATCATTTGTTGATCATATCTACCTCCTGAAATGGTTGAATGTTGACCAATTCTTTTTTGTACAATGACTCCCATCTTCTTTTGATGCGTCCTGCATCATTCAATATTTCACCCATAGAATCTTTCTGTACTGCCACTTAAGGCTTGAATTTTTAACAGTTCTTTTAACTTGAGAAATGCTGAGCATGCTTTTCTTCCCTTTTGTTTTTCTAACTCTAGTTCTTTGCACATTTCATTTACTTTTTCTTATTGGGCTGCCTTTTGAAATCTGATCATCTCTTTTACTTAATCATTTCTTCCATTCACTTGAGCCACTCTCCATTCAAGAGCAAGTTTCAGAGATTCTTCTGACATCCACTTTCGTCTTTTCTTCCTTTCATGTCTTTTTAATGAGTTTTTGCTTTCTTCATGTATGATGTCCTTAATTTTACCCAACAACTCATCTGGTCTTTGGTCAGTGATGTTCAACACATCAAATCTATCCTTCAGAAGGTCTATAAAATCAGGTGGGATTTACTCAAGGTGATATCTTGGCTCTTGTGGACATGTTTAAATTTTCTTTGTGGTATTCTCTGCTTTCAGGCAAGATCTATCTGATATTAGCAAGGATGTCCCTCATTCCACTTCCTCTTCTGAATCCAGCAACTTCCACTTGCATAAAAGCAATGGATGATCTCTTCCATAATTGGCCCATAGCCTTGTTCTGACAGATAATATCAAGCTTCTCCATTGTGTCTTTCCACAGATGTAGTCAATTTGATAGAAATATAGAAGTAGAAAGCCTGGAGTTAGTGAAAATTTGAAATTCTTTTCTGAATTTTCCCCTTTCTGATCAAGATTCCTCTATAGACTCTGATCAAATTGAACTCTGACTCTTTCAGTTGGCTCAGTACCTGATTTTTACCCACAGCACCAGAGGTAGCACTGGCAGGAACTTTG